ATTTATATACTTTTATAGCGAACAATAATTAGACTTTATTATTACAAATAGTATAATCATATTTTAATACAAATTTAAATATTTATAGCAATGTTTAAATAAATAAATCAGTTTAATTGATACAGCTTTTGTAACAATAATATTATAATGACAATTAAATTATATTACATACAATATGAAATACTTTCAATAAAAATTAATTAAACTATTAGCATTAGTGATACTGATTGTATTGTTTGTATTGTTTGCTTAATAAAGTTAGTAGTTTGCATTAAATTTAAGTTGACTATAGGACGAATTGATGACTGACCAAAACAGTCTCTAGTTAATTTATCCTCTGGGCAAATTGTCTTCTCGAAAATAATGTATATAAGAGATGAATTGATATTTTGGAGAAAGAACACTTTTTTCATAATATCTTTAATAAAATATAATTTCTCTGATATTTTCTTATACTGATATTTTTAATGATTGTAATAATTTCGTATGATTAATATTTAATAAAATCAACTCCGTAAAAGTACAGAGCACTGACATTTGAGATAGTACTGATTTATTAATTTTTATTAAAGAACTTTGCATAGCATAATTAAAATCCTTCTGCTATATTAACATTTCTTTTTACATAGTTAATACTTTATTGTTAAATATTAAAAGTATCAGTTAGTTTATTGACTATATTAACTGTTACATTTGTTAAATTTAAACTGTTATATGTATAATGCTTATCTATTGCTCATAGATTGGAGTATCTAATCTAAAGACCGACACGAATCAAACTTTTTATTTTAGTCAAAAAAATTATATTTGAAATTTCGAATACTAAAAAATGATATTAATAAATAATTTAGATCAATTTATGTTTTTTATTACTATAAAAGTTTAGCTATATAGGAAAATTCTAATAAATATCAATTTTGATTGATACCATAAAAGTCTAAATACATGTTCATGATAAAAGTATATAAAATTATAATCTTTTAATAAAAATACTAAAAAAGTTTAACTATATAAATTGTATTCCTTATGTTTAAAAAAAAACTATTAATTATTTTTTTTATCATATCACCAAAAAATAAGAAGACGTAAAGTGAAAAATTAGTTGCATTCCCAAAGATTAGAAATCAAAAGAGAAAGCAGAAAAATGATATTCTCATACCAGATACACCTATTAAAAAAACAAAAACTCCTGCTAAGCGAGATCTGAAGAAATACAAAAGAACCTATTATCAAAGTTTTAAATGATGGTGATAATGGGAAAATACAAAAGCCAGCTTCTATAGCTAAACGAGGTCGAAAGAAGAAAGAGCCTATTATAGAAGCTTTAAATAATGGTAATAATGGGAAAATACAAGAAATAATGGTGTCTATTAATCAAAAGGAAAATAACAAAGTTTATGGTGATGATGAAGATGTTGATAGTAATGATAGCGAAAATGATGACAGTATTATAGATTATGATAATATTGAAGATTATAATAATAACGAAGGTGATGAAGAAAATGATAATAAATTACCTGCTAAAAGACCAACCATTTTAGTTAGTGAACTTTTAGAAACAAGTGATGGCTATCTTTCAGAAGGTAAAAAAAGTATGTAACAATTTAAAACTATGCTTATTATTGTTTATCATTTATTAATTTATTCGCTTTTCATTAATTTAGATGTTATAAATATCAAACATAAACCTCTTGCACTGATTACAAATAACATACATATTAACAAGCTTCATAATAACTCATTAAATAATTCAAACGAAGCAACTGATAGAACTTTAAATTATAATTCACATTTAATTAATACACCTTGTTATACTACACCATATTTATCATCACGTTCAACTAATACATGTTTATCTACCACAATATCGCGTTCACCATGTTCGACTGATACGTGTTCATCTATGGCACATAATGTGCTTCTATCTACATCACGTACGTCACGTTCAACTAATACGCGTTCATTTATATCTCACTCTAATAATACAAATTTTAATGATAATATATTTCGATCAAATACATCTAATGTGTTTTATTTGAATACTTCTTTAAATAATAATACTGTTATTTGTCTAATATTTGACGCTTTCAATGATGATGAGTTTTGTTCGAATAATACATCTTTTTGATCAAATAATGTAGATTTTACACCTTTTTGTGAAATGGATAATGTTCACTAAATTTGCTCATAGCTATGTAATAATCCTGATGTTTTATTACTAGCTTACAATATATACATGTTGATGAAAGCATCAGTTATGAACGAATTTAACTTTATTTTGCCAAATTGTAATTCATCAATATTAGTAACTTCTGCATCACATGTACAAGAAGACAAGGTATGATTTAATGATAATTTTATTTTTTACTAATTGCCAAATAAATCATATACAGATTAAAGCTAGTCACAATTTTCTTAAAGAACTGAAGTATTTGTTTCTTTGATCTCAGAATCCTGAAAAGAACGCTTTCAAAGAATTGGTCCAGCAAATTTTCAGGTGTGATTTAAATTCGGCTGAAGGCATTAACTAGTTGTGAGAAGCTAATAGAAACTTTGGAGATTTTTGCAATAAATTTCTTGACATTATTGAGAAAAGGTTCATATACTCAAAGAAAAAAAGGCTGAGTAAGCTATTCTTTCATTTTAATTCTATCAATTTTATTATTCTAGCCATTTTTATGTAATTTATTTTGTTTATAGGAAAGGAATTTTGTATACAACTCATCCTTCACAAAGAGAAATTGTCTTATTTGTAGATGAAGTTGAAACGAAAAGTGCCTTGCATAGATGGCTAAATGCAACAAATATATTCAAATTACAGGCTCAAAATATAATGCTGCATTTACGTAAATTGGTCATAAATGCAATAATTGTTAATTATGTAAAGAGTGATACAGAAAGGACCAAATACCTGGATAATATGACAAGAAACATAGCAGTTTCATTCCAAAATGGCAGAAATATTGCTAACAACTTACAGTTGTGAAATAGGTATTCTATTTATTACTTATATCAATAAATAATTTATAACTTTATTATACAAAATTATATACTAATAAACTCCTTATGTTTGGTTTTTTTTTGAAAGGTGAAAGTAACTGAAAACAAGCAGTGAAAGGATTAATTGTTTTAGCTGATATTAAAAAATCTTCATATATTATTATTACTTGAAAAAAATTATAGAATTATTGCTTATATAACCAGACAACTCAACTTTCATAATTAAAAGTTGAAGATATCAGTCAAAAAAAAATTTATTTATTACTCCGCTTCTTATTAGATATAATCGATTATTGTCATTCATTATGAATTAATATGCTTACATAGTAACGTTTATAAATATTTTGCAAAAAAATTATTTTTTCAGAAAATGGAAACATCTTACTTCTTGGTAAGGTAATATCTCAATTTAATGAACTCTTATTCAGATTCAAATTTCCAAAATGCATGATTATGGTGTTTCATATTATTTTATTATAATAGTTTATTACAAAAATTTCAATAATAGACGTTTTATCATGATAAACAATAGTTTTTATTAGGTCATTTTTTCTACAACAATAGTTTCTATTATATCTTATTACAATGACTTTATAACTTTTTAATATATTTTTATTAATATTAGAATAGCGTTTTTTTTATAATTTATATTAATAACAATGAAATATATTACATAATCAAAATTTTACTATAAATAAAAAACAAAAAAATCTTAAGGCATAGTGGGAGTAGAAAGAATTCGGTAGATTTATTATTAAATAGTAATCAAATAGTATCTATTATATCGAAAAATATCTTGGATAAGTTATTTTGAATAAGTATTGATGATATTCACTACCTATTCAATATTATGTTATGACTTCAAAAAGGTTCTTCATCAATAAATTCTCGATCATATTACAAAGTCATTTAGAGCTATGTTATCATGTGTTAAATACTAAATTATCATGATTTGATAGCGATCACTTAACTGCATAGTAACAAATCACGAGTTTCTGCAAAGTACTTTTGGTTAAACATCTTTTAAGATCCTTTTATTTTTTCGTTAAAATCCTTAGATGATGTCAAATCACCCTTTAACTTAATTTTTTTTCATTTTGCTAGATACAACTGAGGGATATATACCAACATTAGTACTAACTAGCTCTCAGCATATATCAGTAGTATCTGGCATAGAAATTAATAAATGTTATACGTGGAATTTCATTTAGCAAACTTATATTCCGTTTATTATATTGTTTCTCACAGATCTTTATGTAGAATTTTTTAATATAGATGCATATAATTTAAGAAAAAAAATGTATATAAGAAACAATTTGTTAACCAATTTATCTGCGAGATTAATTTATTTACTAAAAATGTATTCATAAATAGACATGATATTAATAAAAAGGTTGAGGCATAACAGTGTAAAATTTGACGAATAACACAAAGAAAATAAAACTTTTCAAATATTAGCATTGCCAAGGATGACAACTTATCCATTGGTATAATGAGTGCTAAGAAAGTAACGTTGTGTTCTCATCCTTGGCTTCCACAAATAACAAGTATTTTTGAGTAGTGATGGCAAATTATAAGTTCTTTACTTTTTTTTTAAATAACCTTTGGTCATTTTGACTTAAAATTTATATAAAATGATGTCATTTCAAAGTTATTTGCTAAAACTGTTTTTGAAGGTAATATGGATTTTAATTGATTTCAATTTTGATATTGAATCACTAATATGAATATATCTAGAATTTTTTTTTCCAAGTGAATGAGAAATAAAAATTGGAAAATAATCTTCATATACAAATCCATCAAAAAACGTTTCTGCTATTATTTCGCTGAGACTGTATATTAATTTACGCGAAATGAACTCACATAAAAATTACAATATAAAAAATAAAAATAACTTATTTATTAATCATTAATAATTTTTAATCAAAAAATTTAATTAAATTTAATATTACAAATTAAACAGTAAATTAAATGGCACAAACATTAAATTTGTATTAAAAATAAAAATAAAAATAAAAATTGATTATTAAAGAGAATTATAATTTGACAACAAATATGTATTACCTTCTTTCTTAGCATCCGTAATGTGAAATTAAAAAGAATAAATTTTTTTTCAACCTTAACGTAGTGTGTCAGTATCTGAGAGGTGAGAGCCGTTCAAAATCCCAAAAATCAAAATCCTGAAGGGTCATAATCCTGAAGTCATAATCCCAAAAGAACATAATTCCAAAGGGTTAAAATCCCGAATAATAATAATCATGAATGATCATAATCCAGAATGACCATAATCCCGAATATTGTTTTATTAAATTAAGTATATTTTAAGAATTCTATCATGAGATTAACAAAGTTTATTTAGATTTTTAAACTTTTTCTTTAAAAATTTAGCGAAAATTGCTAAATCATACAATGTATATCGAAAGAAAGTTTAAAATCATTAATATAAATTTAATAATGTTGTGTGATACAAATCAATATTGCAATTAGCAAACTATTATATTATAATTTTAAAATTATGTTATTTAGAAAAAATTATGTCCATTCAGGATTATGATCGTTTGGAATTATGATCATTCAGGATTTTGACCCTTCGAGATTATGATCTTTCGGGATTATGACTTTTATAATTTACAGCTATTTAATTATTACTTATTGATTTCTAGTATTCATTAAAAAAAATCTTATTTGCATAATCAATTTTTTATTAAATTTTTAACGTTCATATGGTTAATAGTAATTCTTTCTCAATTTGTAAGCTATATCCATTAGCTATTCTTTTAAAAAAATGGAATAATTATTTTGTTGTTATTAATCAGTTGCAAATATTGAAGAAATTGCTTACAGTTCTCTTTTATTGAAATCTTTTCATTACAGAACTCTAGATAAATAGAGCAAATCAAATCAAAAGTAAAAGTTGTAAGATGCACTGAAACTTACTTTTTAGGAATTTCTCGTGAAATTAAATCAATCCAAATTTGTGATTCAAATATATCCTCAAAACATTTTTGTATAATCTCAGAAACTGAACCATAATTTTTAAGTATCTAATAATAAAGATTTGAATGAACAGTTAATAATCTAACTTTATTTGTTGTTTTAATTGACTTTGCATTCAATTTAAATCCAACTTTTTAATAATCTAATGCATTTTTCAGAGCTTCTTCAGATTGATCAATTGAGTTATAAAAAATTCTAATAAATCAGTTTTTTTGAAATTTCTCCCTGGTTTAATTGTTTGAATTAGATAAGAACTTGCAATATCTGATTTTAATTCTTTACGAATTATTTGAAAGAATTCATCAAAAGTCCTCCAATTTCATTTATTCTATGTTCAAATAAAAAAAGTACATTTTCTATGTTATTAGAAGTTAATTGAAATCTAAGATCAATAAGCTGACTTAATTGAGCAGCAATAGTATTTACAGTACATCAGGACACTCCTAATTATTTGGGAATTAAAAGGAAAAAGCATTAAGAATACTCCTCACATTATAAATTCATTGACATTACTGCAAATCTCATAATAACCAATTTCTTTTCATAGAGATACTAAATCAGAATTAATTAATAGTGCTCTAGTCACTATATTTAATGTACAGCTGTTCTCATATCCCTCTTAAGGAGGAAATTTTTCATGATTCCTATCTTTTATTAATTGTATATATTTCATTATATCTTTATAAGTTAGCTTTGGATATGAAGAGAAAGGGATGAATCTTTTTTTAATATTAAATCTTTAATAGAATTAAAGTATTGACAAAGATTTTGAGAAATAATATTAATAGATAGAGGTCCAGCTGATAAGAAATGAAATAATTCCATGTCATTCCCTTTTATTATGAGCTCATTATCATTCATAAAATTGCATCCTTCAGTAATTAATTTAGTGAATATCGTTAAAGATATATTACTTTCCCAGAGTGAATTTATTTTATTTTCCTTTGAAGAGTACAGAGTCTATCAAACTCGATTTGATTTACACCAAATTTAATTTTATAAGTTGCTCATCATAAGTACCGAAATGCATTAATAACCGTTGTATAAAATATCTGGAGAGT